TAACTTTTAAGTTCACAGTATATGTGCAGGTTTGTTACATAGGTAAACTTGTGTCATGGAGGCTTGTTGTAAAGATCATTTTATCACCCAGGTATTAAGCTTAGTTAGTACACATTCGTTATTTTTCATGGTCCTCTCCCTCCTCTCACCCTCCACTCTCCAATAGGCCCCAGTGTCTGTTGTTCCCCTCTGTATGTCCATGTGTTCTCACCATTTAGCTCCCACTTATAAAGTGAGAACATGAGGTATTTGGATTTCTGTTCCTGTGTTAGTTTTCTAAGGATAATGGCTCCAGCTTCGTCCATGTCCCTGCAAAGAAAATGATCTCATTTTTTTTTTTATGGCAGCGTTGCATTCCATGGTGTATATGTATCACATTTTCTTTACCCAGTCTATCATTGACGGGCATTTAGGTTGATTCCATGTCTTTTCTATCGTGAATAGTGCTGCGGTGAACGTATGCATGCGTGTCTTTATGATAGAATGATTTATATTCCTTTGGGTATACACCAAGTAATGGGATTGCCGGGTCAAATGGTATTTTTGTCTTTATGCACCTGATACGTTTTCATGTGATATCAGATTTGTGCTGACCTCAGCCATTAGATATTCCAGGTTATGGGATGTGGCCACCTTGAAGTGGCCCTAGGACAGGGAATCCGTGCAGTTCAAAGGAGCAGGTAAATTACCAAATGTAAGACCAAAAATTATGAACATCTCCTCCTACCTGGGAGAGGCACAGGAAGTTAAGAGGAGAGATTAACGAGACAGTTAGTATATATGTCCAGAGAAACAGCTCGTAGTTGGCCAAGAGTTTAGGATTAGTCCTTGAGGAACCTACAGTTGAGAAAAACATTTAGCTAATCATGTATTTTTTGTAAAAATGTTTACTGCCAAGATAACTGAGGGTTAAGGGTGCAATTGCTCTAATTTGCATAAGCTTGAATTAAGTGGTAAGTGAAATATTTACTATAACTGGAATATTGATTTGCTAAATATTTATTTGCTTTTGGGAAGCAGAACATGCTTTGAGGAGAAGATCATACGCTCTCTTGGCGCACTGCATTACTATTAGAAACATAGCCCAGGAAATAGCCTGCTTCCTCAGGGACACGGCTGGGAGCAGAAGGCAGGACAGCTCCTTGGGGCTGGGAGCTTAGCCTGGGGTTTAACTCTCTGCTGTCATCATCTTGAAATTCTTAATAATTTTGGAACAAGTGCTTGCATTTTCATCTGGGGCCCACAAGCTTTGTGCCAGTCCTGGCGTGCAGGAGTCTGCCTCTTGTGAGCTCTGGGTTGGATGTTAGCTGAGGTCTGCTCCTACATTGAAGGGACATGGGGCTAGTTCTGCAGGGAACTTAATCAACAGGAAAGGTTTAAGGGTTCCCAAAGGTGGAAGGGCAGTCATGGAGGGCTTGGTCCACTGGGCCACCTGTAGGTTTAGGCAGAGTCCACCAGCAGTCTCGTTGAAACAACTCCAAGCCCTAGGACTTCTTGGTTGACATCACTGTTACTGGGCTCTACCAGCTAACAGAGACCTTGTCCTATTTACCCACTACGAGTGCTGAGAATCCACTCTCAGGGAAGGTCCGTTGGCCAGCTGGGTGGGCCATGCCATCTATCTCCACTCAGAGATTCTTGGGGCATCATCCAAGTTTTCAGAGGATGAGCCATTCTGATCATGGGAATTCCTGAGCCGCCTGTCTTCTGGGGCCTCCCATGCTTGGGTCATGGTTGGGGACTTGGGTGGGGAACACCTGCTGCTCTCAGTTCTCCCTCTTGAGGAGGGCCAGACAACAGGGAGAGTACCCCTCTCTCCTGAGTGTACATGGTTCTTAGGGAGAACTCACTGCCCAGGCAGCGCTGGCCTTCCAGGCCTGGGGAGGCTGTGTGCTTGGGAATGCCACAGATGCACATGGACAATCATTGAATGAGTCCACAGAGGCCAAGCTCCGCCTGCCCAAGGGTCAGACCAGGCTTCCAGTTTTGTTGGTTTTTTAGAGGTGGAGTCTTGCTATGTTGACCAGGCTATGGGCTTGAACTCCTAGGCTCAAGCAATCCTCCCACCTCAGCCTCCTGAGTACTTCCAGTTTTTGTTTAGAAACAGGATGGCCATTGGAGAACATCACTGCCTCAGTATAGCAGCCCTCAGGCCAGCCTGTCTGTCCCTCCCTGTCTGTCCCTCTGGGCTGTTGCCCCTGTGACTGTGGACATCTTGAGGTCAGGGACTTCGTCTTCCTCATCTTTGTGTCCCAGGCCAGTCACATTCTGCTTAAGGGAAGGAGGAGCAGTGAAACATGCTGAAAAGTAGAAGCCGGGGCCTCAGGGGAGGAGGGGGAAGGTAGTACCTGTGAGGATCATTAGGGACGGGCGACTGTGATGAAGGGAAGCGGGCCCTGGGATTCTTGGGGCTGCTTTCTCAGCGCTGAGGTCAGGTTCTTTTGCAATCTTGTTAGGTGTGGGTGGTGTTAAGAGATGGCACTGCGGTGGCCACAGGAATGGCCAAAATAATTATTTGGGGCAAAAACTCAACAGGGCAGGGAGGTGAGAATGTGATTTGAGGCTTGTATTTCCGAGGCTCTCAGCCACTGGTAATTCAACAGGGACCGCCGAGTGCCTGCTGAATGCACGACACCAGCAGACAACTATGAAAAGACACCCAGCTGGGTCAGCCATGCCCTTTGTCTTCCAGCTGCCCTTGGTATTGTGGGTGGCGACAGTCACACACCCGCAGCTCAGTGTATAAAGGAGACCCTGGGCCTCCAGTGTCCTCCACCCCCTTGAAATGTTGAACAAAACTGCACACACCCTTCCTTTCTGTCTTCTTGGAGGGAGAGAAAGGCTGGAATCTGTTCTATTGAATTTTCCAGTTGGAGATCCAGGACCCTGCCCCATGTGACCTGACTCACCCTGTTCCTGCCTCTCCATCACTGGATCCTGGTTCTAGGGCTGCATATGAGTGACTGAGCTCTGAGCAGGGCTGGGAGGGACAGTGTGAGATTCCCCCATCTGTTCACTTGTCTGCTTTCTTCTTTCCTCTGTCAATGGTACCCTGTGATAGAAAACTTCACATGCATTGTGTTAGCTCTGTGGTTGCTATACCACAGTACCACAGTATAAACTTAGTGGCCTCAAATAACACCAATTTATTCTTTTACCATCTTAGGTCTCAGGGCCTTGTTCCTAATGGAGGCTCTAGGGGAAAATCTGTTTCCTTGTCTTTCCCAGTTTCTAGAGGCCACTTACATTCCTGTGCTTGTGGCCCCTTCTGTATCTTCAGAGCCGGCCGTGTGGTCTCTTCTCCCCTCTCCTTCTCTCCTGCCTCCCTCTCACAAGGGTCTTGTGATTATTCAAGCCCACCTGGATGATCCAAGATAATTTCCCATCTCAAGATCCTCACCTTAATCATGCCCACAGAATTCCTTTCTTTTGCATGTAAGATAACAGATTCACAGGTCCCAGGGATCAGGATGTGGACATCATTGCCTGGGTAGGGGACACTGTCTACCCCATTCATTCTGGACAGCTACTATAGTACCACACATTAGCAATTAGAGTTTCATTTTTCTGTCTTTCCCTCCCTCCCTCCCTCCCTTTCTCCCTCCCTCCCTTCCTTCCTCCCTTCCTTCCTCTTGTAAAATTTAGATTTCAGTTTTTTCAAGAGGTAATTCATTCTCATGATTCAAAAATGAAAAATAACATCGCACTGGGGCGAGATGCTGTGGCACCCGGGTTCCTGCAGTTAGTGCTTTCCCGGGCCATGTACCATGGCCAGGAGACTTGGGGCTCCCTCAACTCCAGAGGGAGTGGGGAGACCCTCCCTGCCCTGTCCCTGCAGCATCTGGCCAGGCTGCTCTGCTTTCTCCCCAGCCTCTATCTTTCTACCTGGCCAGCCCGTGGCCCAGCCCTCTCCATCATTCCCCCTCTGTCCCCAAAAGCAAGCAAACGAAACAGCAACAAAGGCCCTAACAACTCAATGGAAAGGTTTCCGTGGAGAAAGACTGCTCCCATCCTTGTTCTCATCCACCATGCTTCCCTGTCATCTACGTGGAGACCATGTCTAGGGCAACCCCTCTCCTTTCTCACACAAAGTTGGCTTGCTGTCTAGGCCATTCTATGTCTCTTCTCTTTTCTTACTTGCTATGGCCTGAAATTTTGCCCTGTCAGCACACAGAGTGTCCTCATTCGTGTGTTTCTTTTTATAATCACCTAGAATTGCACTGTGTGGTTGTGCTACAGTTTATTCAACTGGGCTTTTCTACACATGAGAAGTTGGTTGTTTCCAGACTTTTGCTGTTACAAACAATGCTGCAATGAGTCACTTTGTACATGTGTCTTTTCTGTGTTTATAGGTGGGTCTTGGGGATAAACCCCATGAAGTTGGACCAGTGTGCCAATGGGTAAAGGCACAGTGATCTTGCTAGGTTTCCCGGTAGCGTCTTCTCCATGGTTGTGCCCGCCACTGACATTGGGAAATTCCCTTGAAACCTCCACAAGACAAGGTTGCCAGTCTCAGATTTTGTTTTTGAGGCTCTCACTGTGTCTGTGTTGCCCAGGCTGGAGTGCGGTGGCATGATCTCGGCTCCCGGGCTCAGAAATCTTTCCACCTAACCTCCTCTGCCCCGGGATTACAGGCATATGCAACCTTGCCTGGCTAATCTTTTGTGTTTTTTAGGAGAGTTGGGGCTTCACCGTGTTGCTCAGGGCTGGTCTTGAACTCCTGGGCCCAAGCCATTCTCCCATCCTCCCACCTCAGCCTCCCGAAGTGCTGGGATTACAAGTGTGAGCCACTGTGCCTGGCCAGTCTCAGATTTTAAAAAAACCAACTTGATAGGTACATCTAGGATTTCCTCGAGCTTCCTTTTTGTTAGTAATGGTGGCTTTTCTGGGCTGCACTAGACCAGTGGGAACAAAGTGCCTGTCGCGTGTGTGCATGTCCTTGTGTGTGTGTGTCCTACACACACAGCCCCTGTGCATCCCCGCAAGAAGCAGCACGTGGAGCGGGCCTCGGAGGGTTTATTGTCCACCCCGTGAGGTTCCTGGGCTTCTTGGGAGGAACTGGGGGCAGGGGCTGGTCACACGGGTCTGTAGGTCCCGTTGTAGCTAAAAGGGGGAGTCACCGAGCAGTCCCTGTCCTCAGGGATCCAGCGCTGGACATAGTTGGGGGTGTTGTCATGAGGCCACACGATCACAGTGTCTCTGGAAGCCAGGGAGGGGTCCTCAGGGAAGAAGTTGAAGGGCCGGAGCAGGAAGCCCACGGAGTTCCCAGGTGTGGCTGTGTTGGGAATGTCCTCGGAGTGAGGGATGTGCAGGAAGCCCACCGTCACCCAGGCCACCAGGTCCTGCAGGAGACAGGGTGGGCTTCAGTGGGCAGGGCTGAGTACCGACCACTGGAGGCCATTCAGGCCTTTGGTCATTTTCAGTTCTGCCTGGAAACTTGCTGAATTCCTCTCCAGCCCCTTTTTAAAGAGATGGGCAACTCTGCTGTGACCTCTGAACTTGCCATCCACACAGCAAGGCACAGCTGCTGTGACTGGGGACAGATCTGGGCAGAGGGTGGTTGGGACTCCCTGATGGTGATGCGGATGGTCCTGGGCTGACCTGGAAGGAGGCAAAGCCGGCGCTGGGCAGGGCTGGGGACAGGGCAGTACCTGGTTTTCAATGTTCTCATTGTTGTGAAGAAACTCCTCAAAGACCACGGGTGGGTCCCAGGGGTCATTCTGGTTGTAGATGCTGCTGCTGCACAGCTCCGACTCCCGGTACCTGGTCACTGCCAGGGGGTACCTGCCAGGCAGAGGCGAAGCAGCCTGGCTCAGGGCCCTGGGCTGGGCCCCCAGCCCCACCCAGAGAACAGCTTCAGGGTCAAAATAGAGGAAGGTGACTGCCTTCTCCAAGATGAGAGATTATCTCCAGGGAGACAGCAGGACTGGCTGCTGTCAACCAAGGTTCAGGTGGTCTGCAGGAGTTCTCCCTGCCCCACCAAATGCACAGAGACACAGGTCCTGAAGGACAGACGACCCTTGCACAACACAGGTGTGAACAGCACAGGTCTACTTTTTTTTTTTTTTTTTTTTGAGATGTAGTTGTGCTCTTGTTGCCTAGGCTGGAGTGCAGTGATGTAATCTTGGCTCACTGAGGCCTCCATCTCCTGGGTTCGAGCAATTCTCCTGCCTCAGCCCCCTGAGTAGCTGGGGTTACAGGTGCACACCACCACACCCTGCTAATTTTTGTATTTTTAGTTTCTCTGTGTTGGTCAGGCTAGTCTCGAACTCCTGACCTCAGGTGATACACCCGCCTCGGCCTCCCAAAGTTCTGGGATTACAGGCATGAGTCACCAAGCGTGGCCCACAGGTCCACTTTCATTTGGAGTTTCTTCTGCCTCTGCCATGGAGAGACAGCAAGACCAGCCCCTCCTCTTCCTCAGCCCACTCAAAGTGAAGGTGATGACGATGGAGACCTTTAGATATATTTTCTTTTCCTTGAGATTTTCTTGATAACATTTTCTTTTATGTAGCTAACTTTATTGTAAGAACACGGTATCTAACACATAGAACATACAAAATATGTGTTCACTGCATGTTTATGTTACTGGTAAGGCTTCCGGTCAACAGTAGGCTCTCAGTAGTTAGGTCATGGGGAAGTCATAGTTATGCTTGGATTTTTTACCACATTGGGGGCTGGTACCCCTAATCCCCACATTGTTCCGGGTCACTTGTACACAAAGATATACACATACATACATATACACACAACACACGTGTGTGCCTAGATACAAAACCACATAGACTCAGAACCCATGGGCACGAACACAGACACAGACACACACACTGAGGGGAGCCCCTGACCCTCCCCCAGGCCCCCTGGGTCTTCCTCACCTTGCCCAGGTGACGGCCTGCTCCTCCTGCCAGCCTGGGGGCAGCGCCTGGTCAGCCATGGAGTGGATCTGCAGGCGGTAGCTGCGCTGGTGGCCCCAGGGGTTCTCTGTGGGGCTGGTAAAGAGCAGGTACCCAGGCAGCGTCCTCCTGAAGCGGAAGGCTGCCTGGCGCTCCCGGGAGTACTTCGTCTGCTCCAGGGTCGGCTGGACCACGCGGTGGCTCGGGCTCCAGGGGTTGGTAATATTTTCTAGCTTCATCTGCAGCGTCTGGAAGCTGTTCTTGGTGCCTGGAGGTATGCAGGGAGAAGGAGAACGAGAATTGAGCTGCCAGAACCAAAACCTCCTCATTCTGCCCCAGGATCTCTATCCTCCACCACAGCCAACAGCCAACTCTCTGGAATAATCAGGATGCTGGGGGATGCCCTAGGCAGCTGTGGTGATTCCATTACCACCCTGGGAAGTTCCTCTCAAGAGCTCTGCTCATGCCCATTTGCTGTGGCTGCAATTCCAGAGAAGGGGCACCCATCTTTCTCCAGGCACGAGAGGCTCTGCCCAGAGAGGTGACTGGGACTGACAAGCAGGAGCCACCCCTCTGGTCCTGGTGGCATCAGTCATTCTACTCATGCCATTCTTTTACCATGACAGCATCCAGGAGGCACCCTGATTATTTCCAGATGACACACGCTCCATCTCAAAGCACTAGACAATGATGTTTCTTACCCTCCTAGGCACTGTCCCCTCCTTTGCCCCATGCACAGCCCCAGGGCCAGGCCAGGGTCCACACTGTTGCATCCAGGGAACCCTCAGCACTGTTCACTTTCACCATTTTTCAGGGACACACAGATTTCTAGCTTTAGGTTTTACAGAAGCAGCCTTGGCAAACGCTCCTGATTTTACACTCCCAGGGAGTTACAGTGCCGTCTTCTGGAAGTTTAGCTATTGGTGGGATGCAGATGTTTGAATGGGAGAGCCTCACTTTGAGTCCTACCTGCCACATCCAGGTCGACGCGGTAGTGCACCAAGTGAGTGTGTATGTTCCCAATCAGGTGCGTGTGCAGGCGAGTGCCGTGGCGCACCCCCTCCGGGGTGTAGAAGGTGGCGTGGATGTAGCCAGTGGCATGTATCTTGGCCTCCATCACCCCGTTGGGGTAGAAGATGAAGTCCCAAATGTAATCATAATTGTAGACAGTTGATGTTGTCCGCAGCACCAGCACCTGGCCCTTCAGCCCAGCATAGAAGTTGAAGCCACCGTTAAAGTTGGAATCAAAGTGCCGCCGAATGGGTACCCCTGTGGGCATTTCAAAGAGGCAGAGGGCTCGGGGATAATGGACTGGGCCATCGCCATCACAGTAGTGGAAAGCATCCAGGAAGGTGGCGGTCTCCGGGCAGTCGATGCCAGGGGCTAGCTCGTGAGTGACGCTGCCCAGGCCCCAGCCCACATCGAGGTACTTGGTCTGCATACCTGCAGGTGTGTGTCCTCCGTACAGCGCCGCGGCCTCCTGCACGCTGACCTCATAGGCAATGCGCCCTCCGCCGAAGTGCACGTTCAGGACCTGCAACCCCGAGGAGGTGCGCAGCCGGAAGGCGAAGCTCCAGCCCCCGTACAGCACGGTGTTGCCATCCAGCCTGAAGCGAGGGCCGTGGGGCTGGACCAGGCGAGGGCCGCTCACACTGATGGGGCTGGGGAAGTCCCCGCGGAGCTTGTGGGAGGAGAAGAGGGGTGGCTCCTCCGTGCTCTCATGCCCCTGGCCCTTGGGCATTGGGCCCTCCAGGACCACTGCCTCCACCTCTCCAGCTGCGTACTTCTGAGCCAGTTCCTCTGGGCTCCCATAGAACTTCCCGTTGTACCACACCTGCTCCACGGCCCAGCGCTGGGGATCTATGCTCCCGTGATCCACAAGGAGCTCCAGCCCAGTGGGGTGCAGAAAATAGCCTTCTACATTGCGCTGTATGATAATCCAACTGCGGCGCTGGCCAGAAGCCACGCCCCGGGGGGCCACGTCGGTGAAGGCCAGGCATCTGTCCTGGCAGTCTTGGAATGAGAAGCCTGTGGTATTGAGGAAGAACTGATGCAGGGGCTTGGTGGCTTCCTGCAGGGTGTGGTAGAGGAGGGCATACTCTGATGTGGAAACGGGCCTCGATGCCCAGGAGGGCTGATGCCTAGGCCTGAGGGACAGTGCTCGCATGTAGTGGGGCCCTGGCAGGGGCCCCACAGCAAACTCGGTGACATTGGGATGTTCCTGGTCACCAAAGAATATGATGGCACGGGCTTCCCGCACAGGACGCCTTTCACCTTTATCCAGAAACCTCAGCACATGGTTCTTCTTGGGCAGCAGCATCTCAATGAGAAACACAGTGTTCTTGGCCATGGTGGGTGCACTGGAGGACTGCAGTCTCAGCTCCTTCTTGGACCAGAGGAAGCTGTGCACTGCTTTCAGCTCTTGGAGGCTCAGGTCTGCAAACACCCCTGCCTTCCTAGGCAGGGTCCCTGGGGAGGGCTCCACCATGGCCGTCTGCAGCATCAAGATGGCAGCCACAGTCCAGCCCAGGGCCAGCATCTCTCGCGCCATCACTCTGGAATGCAGTAGAGGAGATGAACTTAGTTGTCTTATGGGCAGAAATGGGCTTATCTCAGTTAGGGCCCGGGAGTTTGAGGTCCCTCCGCCTCGGAGTTTTCCTATGCACTGAACTTCCTCCCCTTGCCCTGCCCTAAGCTAGAGGCTGTCTGTGGGGAAGCCAGGGCCCCACACAGTCCCCAGTGCTGTTGGGCTGTGATCTGTGCTTCCATCCATTTGCTTCTGCCCTCTCCTCACTCCTCTGTAAGTGTCCTCCAGTTCTGCCTTCGTTACTCGGGGGGACGCTCTTAGCCATGGGCGCCGTGGGTCACAGACGCCAGACTGGCCCCTGCACACACCCCCAGGTGCCTCTTGTGCCCTAGAGAAGCAGACACCTACCTGTATTAACAGCAAAACTACATTTCTGACGCAACAAAATACCTTTTAGGTAGACAGATTTTGAAATGCAGTGTAGAGATTCAAAGGTGGGCTCTGGAGTCAGGCTGCCCAAGTCCAGTCCCAGTAACTCATGCCACTAGGACTTGCTGTGTTGCCTCGGGCATGATGCTTAAACTCTCTGGGCCTTCATTTTCTTATTTATAAAATGAAAGTGACAACAATGCTTAGCTCCTAGGGTTGGGGAGATAAATCAATTAGACAGTAAATGTAAAGTGTTTGTGACAATGCCTGCCTTATAGGAAATGTATGAGAAATGTCAGCTGCTCTTCTTGTTAAATTACATACAGCCTATGGACACCAGCACATAAAGTTCCACAGCACATTTAAAATTCTAGAGTTATTCAGGTGTGACTAGGCTGCAGACTTACGGCTTTGGGGTGAGGTAGAGCTGCCCAGTCCTGCCCAGCCTTCTTTGTGCCCCCTTCACCTCTCTTGACCACCCAATGCTACTAGGAGGGCCCCTCAAGGAGAGGGTCATCTTACGGAGATGCTTTTCCTTTCTCAGGGAGGGTATGGTCAGGGGCTTCACCTCATAACCCCATCCCCCAAGCAGCCGTAAAATCCTGTGCTTGTAGCTGCGAGCCTCCTGCGGGGCTGGGAGAGCTGAAGGCAGTGCACAGCTTCCTCTGGTGGCCTGTCTTCCTATATGCTGTGTGTGGAGCCTCTGGGAGATGCTTGCTCTGCAGATGCTGGCCGGAGCAGTCTCCCAGCCTCAGTTTCTCCAGACCCTAACTTGTCCTCCTGGATACCACAGGCCCTGCCTGGATGGCTGCCATCACCATGAAATTTCCCTACAGAAGTGCTGCCTTCATTGCCTTGCACCCCCTTCCTCAAGGCTCTGGGTTGACCTGGGAGCCTGCTTCAGGATTTCTCCCTACCTCAGCTGCACTTCTCACTTCCTGCAAGCCACGCCTGAGGCGCAGACACTTGACTTATAAGGTGGACGCATGAGTGTGTTGGACTCAGAGATCCTTGTTTTCATAGGTAATTGACTTTTGCTCCCTAAATCAGAAGCCCTGGGGGTAACCCTGGAGAAAATGTGTTCTCCTATGCAGACAGACAGGTAGTAGAGAGTTTAATCCACTCCTGGTCTCAGACCTCTGCCTGGCCCAGCCTTCTCCCGGGAGGCCCAGGCTGCCTGCAAAGAGGGACCGAGGATTTCACCTGGATACTCAGCGGCCCTGCGAAATGTAACTGAGGTGCAGCAGCTCTACTTGGGGTGTATCGTGGAGTGACCCACCAAGGAAACCTGACCATCATGAACACTTTTCATTTCTTGCTTGTATTTTTGGAAAATGCATTTACATATCACATTTCCGAAGCACAATTGTTGGGAACACAACCTACGTGATAACTAGAGGCCCTGTTTTCCTTGTGGCTTTTTTCCTCCAGGGAAGCTCAACTGCAAGGTGTCCCTCCCCACCCGACTCTAGGCTGGTGGCATAGCCTTCCCCACCATTTCAGATCAGCTGAAACCCTGCACTGCTGAGGAGGGCTCTGGTTTTGGCCCCAACTAACATACTCACTTCTCCATGAGCCCCCTTAGCACTTTGTATTTAATTTGTACACGATGGCCATTTCTTAATTTGTAGATAAATGAAAGGTGTTGGCTGAGCCTGTTCTGTCACCCAAGGGCTTTCTGGCCCTGGAAGCCATGGTCAAGGCTGATCTGAGATGTCCTTCTCCCCGTTTCCCAGGCTCCCCTCCCTGAAGGCTCCACGTTGCCCTCATTTTGCTCCTCGTTCACAGCCTCTCATGGGGACGTCCCTCTGGTTGGCCTGTCTTGCTCTCTGGTGCTGGCAGAAGACCCTGGAACCCACATGATCTTGGGCTCTCGGAGGCCCTGCTCATCTGAATAGAGCAGGTGAGGGAGGGGCTGCAGGCGGAACCCATGCCAGTAGGAGGGATATAGGCGACTGCTTGTGTTCTACTATTAAACATTGGCCAGGCCTCTTTTTTTTTTCTTTAAATAGGCTTCTTTTTTTCCCCCTGAGATAGAGTCTTGCTTTGTAGCCTAGACTGGAGTGCAGTGGTGCAACCTTGGATGACCGCAACTTCCACCTCCCGGGTTCAAGTAATTCTCCTGCCTCAGTCTCCTGAGTAGCTGGGATTACAGGTATGTGCCACCATGTCTGACTAATTTTGTGTTTGTAGTAGAGATGGGGTTTCACCATGTTGGTCAGGCTCCTGAACTCCTGACCTCAAGTGATCCACCTGCCTCAGCCTCCCAAAGTGTTGGGATTACAGGCATGAGCCACTGGACCTGGCCCAAAATAGACTTCTTATTAGACTTAAAAATATATACATAGAGTCAGGGTCTCACTGGGTTGCCTAGGCTGCTCTTGAACTCCTGGGCTCAAGTGATCCTCCCACCTTGATCTCCCAAAGTGCTGGGATTACAATAGACTTAAAAAAAAA